GATTTGGTGGACCCAACGGGTCGGGAAGCGGGCTCCGCTCCCTTGGGTCCATAATGTGGTGACGGCATGTCCGTCATTCGTGGAGATCACAAATCCTTTTCTGGAGTGTAGTGGTTGTCGTGTATCTTCATCGGGTCTCGTGTCCCAGAGCTGAAGGCGGCGCCTACAACTCTATAGGGCGAGGAGTACGTGCCTGCAATACCTTTTGGGCTCTGCGGCGCCCGGGAGGGTCTAAAGCACCTGTCCAGTCGTTCCCTGGCAGTACCTTTCCTACCGGGGCGCAGGGTATGGTCCTTGAAGCCGTGGTTGACCCGAACGTCTTATCTTGCACTGTACCCATCATCATGAGGGAACGGGAGAGAAGTTATCAGGTAAGATAAAACCAGCCTTTGGACATCGAACGGGGCGAGGTTCGTCCTCGGTCGTCGGGCGAGGCGGAGCCTAGTCCTTATCCCTTGGGCGTGACCGAACCCACCCCTCGGGGGTCGGGCAAGGCGAAGTGTATCCCTCAGCCCTCGGGCGAGGCGGAGACTAGCCTTCAGCCCTCGGGTGAGGCGGAGCTATCCTGAAGGCGTCGGGCGAAACGGAGGCCAGCCCTTTGCCCTCGGGCGAGGCGGGGCTGGCCCAAAGGCGTCGGTCGAGACGGAGGCCAGCCCTTTGCCCTCGGGTGAGGCGGGGTTGGTCCAAAGGCGTCGGGCGAGACGGAGGCCAGCCCTTTGCCCTCGGGCGAGGCAGGGCTGACCCAAAGGCGTCGGGCGAGACGGAACCTAACTTTCGTCATTCGGGAAAGGAACGCAGCGGCGCCCTTGTCCGTCCAGAAGTTTTTAACGTTCGATGGTTATTGGTTCCACCTTCTGGGGTACCCTGGTATTAGGTCCCCGACACTATTGAACCATGGAATCCATCTCCACATTGCACTTACGCAGCAATAGGGGCCACATCCACATTGTCAGGAATGTCTCCTGCAACATAAGTAGAAAAATGAGAAAATAATGAAAGAAATGGTGTAAGAAAGGGGGTAAGCTTCCAATAACCATGCGGATAAGACACTTACTCGGATGATTCTGTGTCAAAGGGATCTCATGAGGAGGATCTGTCACAATAACATGAGTCTGACAAAAATCTTCAACTACCTCATTGAGGGCAGATTGAGCGTCGGGAACCGTAGGTGCAACCTCCACATCCATATCAGGTTCCGGGATGGGAGAGTCGAAGTGTGCCTGCTGACCCATTGGTGGGGAAACCCCATGAGGGATGGGATCAACTAACACCCGACGCACAACCACGTCCAAACATTGTAGCTGGCTCTTCATAGCCAATCTCACATAGTTCTCCCACTGATCCGCACATCCAATTGGGATCATTCGCCTGAGGATGTTGGGAGGAGAACCTAGGTACAGTACACCCTCAATTGCAATGCCATCATCATCGTCATCATCTCCAAGGCAATGCAGCTCCTCCCGAACCCTTGCAACCATCTCACTAAATGAAGGCCTATAATTGAATAGCACAGGGACGCTTTGCATGTCAACAAACTCAACATATCCATAGCAATCGCTTTCAACGGTGCCTCCATGATATATGGTCACTAGATTGTTCATCTATTTTAAACACTTAACGAAAACACATGTCCTTTAGTAAAAAATACACGCTAACTACTAACGTGAAGGTCTCTAGTATTTAGATAAGTAAATGTATACTATGTACTAAGTACTACATATATATACTGAGTACTAAATATATACCTATGTATGTATCTAACTATGTAATAACTATATACGAAAACTAGTTATACCAACATAAGTGTGTGTGTGTATATATATATACCTATTACACCCTAACTATTGTTAACTAAGTACTAAATTACCAATTCAAACGAATAAACTAACTTACTTTACTGTGCAGTCGGTAGAGCGTTGGTGGAGTGCAACAGCAAGCCGCCGGAGCACCTTGGCGTGCCTGGGCCGAAGCTCCCGCGCACCTTGGCGTGGCGTGGCGGTTAGGGCGGCACGCAAGACTGGCGAAGTGTCACGGACGGCCGGCGAGGGCGTGAGTGGCAGCGGCTGGCGTGAGGGCTGACGGCAGCACTGCGGCGCATCATGGCGCATGGCATGCGTGCGGCGGGTGGAAGAAGGCGCCAGCGCACATGAGGCGAGCATGGGACGGCATGGTCGGTCAAGCAGACAGTCGCGACATGGCGCGGGCAACGGCGGCAGGGCGAGGGCGCGCGGGCCACGAACGGGTGGGGCAGGGCAGGGCCGCGGCGCCGAGTGGTACGGCGGGCGTGGACGGCGCGGACGGTGCAGGTGGGGACGGTATAGAGAAAGAGAGAGGAAGAGATAAAGGAACCTCGGGCCTATACGTAAGAGGGCTTGGCGTCAGGATTGTTGGCGCCAAGCTCGACGCCGAGCTGGCTGTCATGTCAGCGTCCATTGCGCCAACGTGGCCCCGAGCTAAGGGTCCAGATTTTAAAATATTACCTCCAGAGACATATTTGTATTTAAAAAAAACTAAAAAATAAAAAATTCGGCCGGCAGGGCGGGACTACCTGGGCGCGGGGCACCGAGGCGCGCACGGTACGTGTCTGGTCGGGGCCAGCCGCCAGCGAGTCCTCGCTTCAATTGCTCCCGCATGCCATCTGCTTCGCGAAAGGAGATGCGGCCCGCCCAAGGACGGGATCTGCACCGGCTGCTGCTTCCTTCACGGGCCCAAGATTCGTGCTGCCAACCATCGCAGGCACCACGTGAAACGCAACGCGCCAACGAGATGGTGGCCACCCAACTTTTGGTCCAACCATCACTACATTAGAGAGTTTTGTCCAGGGCATTTAGGGATAACAAGACATAGGCACCTGGCAATGTAAATGCACCAAGCTCAAAGAGGTTTGAGCTTGACTAAGAATTTTCGAGCAGCAAGCAACAACAGCGACTCACTAACCAAACTGCGAAGACACTAGAGTTGAAGGTGAAGCGAAATTTACAGCATCCCATCAGAAAAATTACATCTCTTTTTGTTGAAGTGCATTGGGCTCCACGTGCTTGTCACATCCAAGATCATTCAGAGGCGCCAGGTCGAACGTGCCAGGGAGATCAGCAAACTGGTAAATGAGGTATCAAGGGTTTGCCTACATCAAAAGGAAACCAAAGAGATCAGCAAACTGGTGGTAGCGAAAATGAGCCGAATAACTCAGGGACTTGAATAGGACAACTGCATTGTTCACCATTAAGAAGACTGTATAAGCTGCCTACAAGTTCTTTTCCATCAAAAGTTCAAAACTATAGAGGGTATATCCAATGTACTACTGAAGGCGTACGCAAATACTACCCAAGTACCCATTCACCATATGATGTAAACAGAAGTTGATACTCTCACTGTGAGATGAAATATGTTCAACCTTCTATGATCCAATTAGCTGTCACAATTTGTTTAATGAAATGTTTTTTTTCTCTCGAATACGCACGAGTGTGCATATCACTGTATTAGAAGAAGAGTTTATAATACAATACTAGAGTTCCGCTATGTCAAATTCAGTTGCAAAGATGTGCAGTCAAGATGCTCAACTAAAACCAAAAACTTTCCAAAAACCACAACGCATTGAATGGATCTAGATCTCAGGAAGCACGCCTTTCTAGTGGGAAGATTACAGTTTGTACCTTTATTTTTACTAAAAAAACAGGTAAGAAGAGAAAAAGATCACCTCAAGAACGCAAGCATACTTGGTAAGAGAAATCATCCTTTGACCCTGCTACTAGATCTGCCAGTGTCCAGCTCACTCTTTTTCAATTCCAAGCTTGACACACTAAATGACTGCTTGGCCTGAAGGGATTTATTAGCGCTAGTGTTCACGCTTGATGTCAGAATGTCACAACTCTCAAGAGCCCCCTTATGTGCAAGTTGAGACTAGAACCTCGTTGCGGACTCCACACATGGTGATTTTTCATATGTTATCCTACAGAGGAACCACCTGATTTACAGCACCACTGTCCACATTAATTTGCTTCATTCAACGATCAACAAAGCATTCTGTTTGCAGCAATCACCACAGTCGTCAGGTGAAACAGTGGTGTTTCTTTGAGTAATAAGGCCTTTGTTTAATTTCCCCTAAAATTTACTCCATATTCCATCGAATATTTAGACACATGCATGGAATATTAAATAAAAAATAACTAATTGTACAGTTTGCGACTAATTTGCGAGACAAATATTTTAAGTCTAATTAGGCCATGATTCGACAATGTGGTGCTACAGTAACACATGTGCTAATAACGGATTAATTAGGCTTAATAAATTCGTCTCGCGGATTAATGATGGATTATGTAATTTGTTTTTTTTATTAGTATCCGAACATCCCATGCGACACTCCCATGTAACATCCGTTGTGACACCCCCAAAACTTTATATCCGACTGAAAAAACTGAAAAGTACGGATTATAAGACAAGCGAACAGTAAGGGTGAGCTTCAGGATTAGGCTATCTCCAACAACAACACCCAAAATACAAGACACATTCATCATTTGGGTAGCGCTGTAGGCAAAAGGTTCAATACATATTCGATATCTTCTCCAACAACAAGACACAAAAGAGAATCATTTCTGCAAATGGGTTTTCAGAAGAGAGAATGCCCAAATTTGGGTTGTGCCTCTCAGGCAACCCAAAATAGGTCTTTCCGTATAGATACTCTGTTGGAGACTAATTTTAGATCTCTTGGTACCCATTTTGAGTTTAGATAATCATATAGGCTCCTTGTTGGACAGTCTACACATATGAGTTGCATGTAGAGTAGCGTCAGAAACTGCCCATGTGATCAAGAGCTGATCTGAGATGACCGGTATGGTTAAAAAATTATTTCTGATGGCCTTTCAGCGAATCCCGTGGGACTAGGATGGCTAAGGACCTCTGAACTTCTTCATGTGCCCCATTTCTCAGAGAAGTCGCTTCGCTTTGCCGTGATGAGTGGCATCCAACGTTTCTCTGTGTGATGAGTGCACAGACAACATTCTCTAAGCTTCATTACATGCTGATTTTAGTGGAGTAACAGCAAGGAACAGTGCAAAACCAATAGATGCACAAGATACCAGGACTACAACGATATACAGAAGTAGAATAGGGTTTTCAGTGTTCCCTTTCAGGTCATTTGTCCAAGTGCTATCACCAAACAGAACTTCCGCCGCGAAAATGATATTTGTAAACAGTGTTAGAAGAAATGCTAGGAAGGACAATATTTCAACGTATAGAGATATCCAGTATCTGCCCATCAATAATCTTGAAGAGGAAATGCGGAAAACAGGTATCACAGACGAAGGAAGGAGCATCGCTTGGATAATTGGGCAGATCATGAGTAATTGATATAACCCTTCAAAACCTGCAACCTTCACATGGTATATAGTAGCAATCATGGCAAAAACCTTAGGTAACAGATGGTGCGCAAAAAGAGGCAGCTTTACGCCGAAGAGATTCTCTAAAATTACATCACTACCAATAATACATGTCATTGATACGATGTGGCCTGAAAAGAGAAGGATCACCAATAATACAATTGGTGCCACAGGATTTATAAATACCTGCAAAATACAAGATCCCAAATGAAATTCAGAAAGGAGCTTCATCCTTCAGTGCACACTCCAAGCTCAAAGTGATACTATCTTTATTGAATATGCGTTGGCCAGTTCATGCGGAGGCTAAGTTTTTGTGAGGACTAAGAGCATCTCCAACAATTTCCCTATAACTCATTCTCTATGTCCCCATTCAGGGAGTGAGCCTAAAGGAGAGTTTGTCTCTAGTGACTTCCCTAGAACACATTCCCTATCTCCCAATTCAACCTTGGCACTTGTTTCGAGAACTACGTGTGTGTTGGGTTTGAGTAATATGGTGGTCCATTATTATCTCTCACCTTGCTTTTTTATTTGTCTGTAGAATAATTGGGTTGATTCATCACCAGCTCATCATTCCTCACAAGCTAATGTATATACGCGAAGAATGGATTGATTCCACCAAAACTCATTGAAGAAACTCATGATGCACGACCTCATGTAGCATGAGGTAATTACTCAAACCAAACACACCCTATAGGCTTTGTAAGATCTATAACTTGAACCCAAAATATACTAGAACTATCTTTTTCCTAAAACTGTGCTACTTCAATTAGGTCCTCTTGACCATAGTAACATATTGAAACTCATGCACCATTTAGCCCACCCAAAAAATTAGGTAATGTACTTATAATACAACAATTTCACAAAGTTGAAAATCCAAACGTGCAAGGTATAATAGCATGCCACAACACTAAACCCAAACCCATGGTCATTTCTTATAATTTGAGAATTCGAATGCTGCTCTTACATTAATAGGAACAAACCTGATTCATTAGCTGTCTAGCATCTTGGAAGTTAATGGCCATTGTGGTTTTGGACTCATCAACTGCTGAACTCAGCAGAATGTAATTCACAAGAAAGATACCAGAAAATGCAAATAGTATAGAAGAAAGGTGATCATGAAATAGAGAACCAAGGGTATGACCCCGAAATCTTCTTTGAACCTGCACACATGATAATATGATATCTGAATTAACAATGATGCAAGAAGCCAAAGTAGACCAAACTAGCAAAGAATGAATCAAGAACAACTACATTCAGTACCCATGTGATGAATTGGTGATCGAGAACAACCAGTGCACTCAGTACCCTAACATAAAACATCACTTGCACCACGAAAGCCATATTCAGGATTGATGAGACAAACTTTTAATCGAAGGCATGCTTGATAAAGCTAAGTGCACCAACTGTAGCTCCATATGTGTCATATGATAATTGCAACTAAACATGAGAACATGATGTTGGAAATTTACCTGAACAATTGATGAATGAGTATAGAAGTTGTGTACTTTTATATTTGTGCCAAGTAGTGCCATCAGTGAGTAAGCACTTTCACCACTCAACTTGGGGAACATTATGTTCGTATGAACAGGGGTTTTGGGATGGCTGACTAATAAACCAAGCACAAAACAAACAAGTGTAAAACCAGATAAGTAGGCATTAAACATTACAGCCTTCCTCTTGTTCTGCAACCAGCATAAATATAGGAATCAGAATACATTATAAAAAAGTCTTAGAGCAGGTCATAATTTTATACACAGTTCTTTGGGGACATAAATTTACCAGAAGGGAGAGTGTATATGATAGCATATTAATTACAACACTTGTAAAACATACGACTGTGATGGGATCGTTGCTTTCAAATACAAGGTTGAACCCAACTGTGATGCCTGCAATATGAAAAGTGTCATATGTTAAGTGTTTTTCCTTTGAAAATGTTAAGTGTTTCAAATGTACGAGTTACTTAAGTGCTCTATTAATTGTAATGGTGCAAGCAAATGTATATCATGAGCATAAAAATCCAAGATAAACCATCATCAAAAAATGAATTTTCTGAAATATTTGTAGACATACCATGGTCAATTCGGAAGTTAACAAGGACAGTCCTGCTTGAAGACCAAGAACAACACATATTTTCTTATCATACTCCTGGTGGCAAATCTATTTGTTCATGTACAAATATAACAAGAAAGAAGTCAAGATGAACATTCTGCTGAAAATAGATGAAGAAAATGTAAAATAAAAGGGATATTTCTAGATAGAATTTAAACCTCAAGCCATTAATTTTTTGTTGTGACATGTGGATATCTGATGTGTTCTTTTGAAATATGATGGCATTTTTTTTCAATAGAAGTATGTCAGCATAGCTACAACACTTAGGATACCATGATTACTCCATAAGCATTTTTTTCACACACCTCCCATAAACACACACAAAAAAACACACCAATAGTACGGGTACATACAACAATTTATGGTAGGCCCACCCTATCCTAAGGAAACACCATTCTTATCAGTGAGATCTCCACACTGTGGTTCTGGTGAGAGTTGTACAGTTTGAAGTGGCAAGAGAGGACTGAGTAAATTCTTAGATGGTGTTTGGTTGCCCATCCTAAATTTTAGTCGCTGTCCCATCGAATGTTTGATATATGTATGGAGTATTACATATAGACTAATTACGAAACTAATTACATAGTTTGTGACTAATTTACGAGACGAATCTTTTAAGCCTAATTAGTTCATAATTTGACAATGTGGTGCTACAGTGAACAATGTGCTAATGGTGGATTAATTAGGCTTAAAAAATTCGTCTCGTGGAGTACTAACGGATTATGTAATTTATTTTTTTATTAGTATCCGAACACCTTATACAACATTCTCCCAACACACCTTTTAAATTTTAATCACCGGATCAAACACCACCTTACCTCCGCAAGATTCTTCCCGGTGACAATGCCGATACAACTCGAGAGGTACTGACACAGAATAGCTGATAGATTAAAAAGCAGCACGAGCAGGACAAGATCATAGCCAAACCGAGACCCTGCTTCCACTGCCACCAACCATTTCCCGAAGTCAAGATACCCCATTGAAACCAGGAGTGTTGGTCCAAGGGTACGGAAAGAATTATGCGGAGCATCCCCAGCAGCCAGGGACTCTATGCATCGCACACCATCCATTGTGCAGGGACAATATGATGATCTGCAAAATATGATGATCTGCAAAAGCTCAGTATATATGGATCGACTCTACTGAAACCCAACTGTCTACAAACTCAGGCCTTTTGTACTCTCTCGTTATGATCCAAGCAGTCTACTTTGAGTTTCCAAAGTCCAGTGTGACCTCCACGTCCGGCACCGTGCCAATTACAATAATGAAGACGCTCCTGATTTAAGCTCCATCCATCACGCCACAGTACTTTTGCCAACTGGTCTCACGAAAACAAACTTTACACCCTGCAAATGGTTACGGAGAGTTACGGGTGAAAGAGGAGTAGATCGAGGACACAGTAAAGTGCTTTCTTATACGGAAATGTGAGCAGCACAATAGTGACAGTTATCTTATTGACAGTAAGCTCTGGGAAGCTTTATTCAAACCTCTGGCTTGTTTGGACTTTGGAGTGGTAGAAAGCACGAAGCAGGTTCAGGAAGGCACTAATTGATGATTTTTCCCCCCTAGAACACGACTTCACGTGCATTTTATTAAGAAGAAATAGCACAAAGAGTTCGAAGCCATCCAAAGGCGAGATGCCTCGAGGGCGCCGTTACAAGCAACCACTCGCTTAGCTTAACGTTCTACATGATTTTGCGACAACTAGAAAGAACCACTACGGCACCACCATGGTCATCAGTAGGGTTGGACAAAATACTCGTGGCTCGCTAACTCGCTCGACTCGTGTCCGGATCGGCTCAACTCGGCTCGTCTCGTTTTAACTTTTTCACAAGCTGAGCTGAAAGTCTAACTCGCTGTTTTAACGAGCCAGCTCGCGAGCTGCTCACGAGCTCAAACGAACTAAGACCTATCAACCCATGACCATGAATTCAGAAGATGATGATGCTGACCTAGAAGTGTACGCATATTCCATTGATATGTAATCCTTATTTTCAGCTGTTTCATATAAATTTTGATTTTATAATTATTGTGGTACTTAAATGTTGATTTATGGATTGCTTTCCAGGGAGAAGATGATGATGCTTACATTGAATTTATGGACTTTTCTAAGTCTGTGGTGGCAAGCAACTAGTAAGCATGCTGGAACTGTATGGATCATGGATAGACCAGCTATGTTGCATGGTTGGTACTTTTGATAAACCTGATATGTATTAATCATGTATGGTTGCATAATGGTGGACGCCACATTCTGAAATTATTGTGGCATACATTATAAACATGTGTGTCCTATTTTTTTAGTAGCTCGCGAGCTAAACGAGTCAGCTCGAGCTCGCTAACGAGCCGAGCTGAGCTACGCCTCTAGCTCGTAATATTAATGAGCCGAGTCGAGTTGGCTCGTTAACCTAACGAGCCAGCTCGAGCAGGACCGAGCCGAGCCGAACTGGCTCGATATCCAACCCTAGCCACCGGGACCGACGAGAGCGCCGTAAAGCCCGAAGCGATCCACTCGTCTCCATCCTCCAACACCTTCCTCGCTGCCTGGGCCGCTGTGCAGGCCGCATTGTCGAAGACATGAGAGTTGCGCTCCTTCCGTATCCGCCAAGAGACGAGCAGCACAACCGAGTCAAACCCCTTGAGCATCTCCTTCGGCACTTGACGTCGAGCATCCATCCACCAAGCTGAGAGTGTTGCCCCCGGCAAAGGCGTGATCCGATCCCAACCAAAGCTACGCAGCAGACGGCTGGATGGTAGGTCGGTTGGCTCACGAGGCGGCGAGATAGCTTGGCGATGGAGCCCGACGATCGAAAGGCGGTTGGTGGCTTACCGTGGTGGTGCTTGCCGACGACGAGCGGCGCAGAGGCGGGCAGCAGAGAAGAGGACCTCGTCTTCTGAGTTCCCACACTTAGGTTTCGAGCTATAGTAGGCGCCGCGCGATTTGCTCGATCGGGAGAGCGCTGCCACTCATGTCCACGGGTGCGCCGTGGCCCGTAGGACGCGCGCAATAGGGCCACGAGACGCGTGGCGAGGCGAAGCTGAGTGGCATGCATGCAGGAGGGACAGCGGGGACGCGCCGCTGCCGACGTCGTCGCGTGACGGCGCCGTGAGCCATCCTCATCCAAGAGCAAGCCGCAGCCCCCACGCGCGCGGTTGACAGGGCATTGATCTCGGTTCGGAAGCAAATTCTAACAGACCCGGTCTTTTCCTAGTCTGAGAGACCCGGCTTCTTTATGTGACACCTTGAAATCCTCATCGATCTCAAAGCAGCTGAGCCATTGCCATCAGGATCCTAGCGAGTAGCGACGCCGTGAGCGTTAACGGCAGTCTTTCAACGAAATCCACCGACAGAAGTAAGGCTTACTTTAAATACAGGCCTAAGTTTAGGTATCATATCGGGTGTCATAAATGAGTGTTTGGATAGTAATAATAAAATAAATTACATAAGTCCTCGGTAATCCGCGAGACGAATTTATTAAGCCTAATTAATCCGTCATTAGCACATGTGTACCGTAGCACCACATTGTCAAATCATGAACTAATTAGGTTTAAAAATTCATCTCATAAATTAATCGTAATATGTGCAATTAGTTATTTTTTAGTCTATATTTAATACTCCATATATATGTTAAACATCTAATATAATAGAGGCTAAAGTTTAGGAGAGAACAAACAAGACCAATGCCCCTTCTGATGGAAGCTTGGCACATGCGCACAGCTCTTCCGTGACCCTTTTAGAGGAAGCTTCATGCGGCTCCTTCAAGGTAGCGCGGGTGATCAAGCCCGTTCGGCTGGTACACAAAATTACCGTGTACTAATTTGTTTCAGCTGATTTTAGCTGATTTAATAATATTATATTAATATTATGTGAGAGAGAATAAGCTGAAGATAAGCTGAGCCGAACACGCTGATCGAAAGGAATTGCCGAGGCAGCAGCGCAGCGGTCCAGCACAGCAGGACGTCAGCATCACCGGAGGCGGAGGAGTAGGTGCCGGTGAAGAACGTGGTGTACCGGCCATCGTCGAGCGAGCTGCTGGCGGCGGCGACAACGGAGGCAGAGGCGGTGTGTCGTACGAGCCGTTCGAGCTGTGCCAAGGGTGCCGGTGCTGCTCGTCGTCATCCAACGCGAGCAGCTGCGTGGGCAGGGCACCCCAGCTACTGCTACGCCATCGATGATCGACCATTTTAGCATATTTGCTTGTGCTTGCCTTTTCTTTTTTGGTCACCAGCATTTGAATCCATGACATGTAAGGTCATTCACGCTCGGTACTAGTATGTAATATAAAAATGTGTATGTGCAATTTTAGTACCACATATTACTAAATTACTGAGCGCCAAGCAAGCTAACAAAGTGGTAAATGAAAAACAATGACTACTTAATACATTAAATGAAAAAGATACAGGCCCTCGCTCCATCGTTCCTGTCCCAGAATCGATGTGGCTGGTGAGCACCAGCGGATTGGCACATTCGTAGACGCTGTTTGGCTGTTTCATTGGACGTTGAGACACATACACGAAGTATTAAATATAAACTAATTACGAAATTAATTGTATAACTTGCGACTAATTTACGAGACGAATCTTTTAAACCTAATTAGTCCATGATTTAACAATGCAGTGCTAAAGTAAACATGTGCTAATAACGTATTACTTAGTCTTAATAAATTTGTCTCGTGGAGTACTGACGAATTATGTAATTTGTTTTTTTATTAGTATCCAAATACCCTATGCGTCACCCTCATTTGACACCTCCTAAATTTTAGTCCCTGATCCGAACATCCCCTTGTACATACAGGTCGGGCATTCCATCGAATAGTTGGCGTGCGCGGCGCACCACGTCCTTGCTCATGCTGCTCTCGGGCATTGCAGAGCAGCAGAAGCGGCACACAGTTATGAGGTTGTGGTAGGCAGTCGGCGACGAATGTACGGCACCAGCGCCTTGTTGTAGACCGGCACCATGGCGATCATGGCGAGGGCCGACAGCGCGAAGATGGACGGCGGCGGGAGCTCCAAGTGCGGCGCTCTCCAAGTGCGGGCCTGAGCGCCGCCATCACGCTGCCCTGCTTGATGGAGAAGGTCGACACCTGCGCCACCGCCATGCCGAAGGTCAGCGTGCACGCCCAGATGGGCACCATCGCCAGCACCAGCTTCGTCTCCTCCACCTGGGTCACCGTCGCCAGCCGCCAGGGCCCGCAAGCTTGCTCGCCAGCGCCGGGCTCCATTATGGCCGCCCTGAGGAATGAGCACGAAATCACCGCATCAAGAGCGTTTGTTCCACAATCCACAGGGCTGTTACTGCCCGATTCAAAAATCAAAACCGTCTTTGATCGGTCCGTTCCTGTGATACAAATGAATACCTCCTTCAAAACCGGTAGCTTCCTGAGCAGCCTGGTGATCACGGCGGCGGACCGCGCCACCTGGTTCGCCCAGGACCTCAACCGCAGCAGGCTGGACGACTTCTACTGGCTGCTGGCGTGCATCGGCGCCGTCAACCTGGCCTTCTACATGCTGGTCGCCGCTAAGTGCTCTGTTAGTTACACAGTAATCGGCCGGAGCCGGAGACGAATAGAGATAGGGGATGGCCGGCCAGAGGTCCGGTTTCAGAGGAAAGCTTAGAAACGTAGAGTTATCTGATACAAGTTGAATTATTCCTTTCTTCCTCTCCACTCTCTCTTATCTACTCCTCCTTCTTGGGCTCGCAGCGGATACAGGCCCATTGCGGACCAGACACTCTTGTGCTTCTGGATCGGGCTCGAGTTCCACGTCTCGGCCCAGCTTCACATGTGGACGGGTCCAGGTGAGGGACGGTGACATGCTCGTACAAGCATACCGTCAGGGCCGGCAGTGTCGGCGACGACGTTGAGCGTCGAGCCATTGGTCTCCCTCGTCTCGCCTTCCTTTCGTCCAGCGCACCCGCTCCACCTCTGCCTACTCGCCGCCGACGATGACTGCGCCCTGCTGGTGCTCGACGGCTTCACTTAACGTGGAAGTAACGTCGTCAGATGAGAATAGGAAATAGAATGGAAGGAGCAAAGGGGATACATGTGCTTTGAGATTGTTAGACACACGTGTCGTTTGAGGAGCAAGCTCCTTCACGATCCAGGAAGGACCGGGTCCTTCAAAATTTGCCTCCAGTGATCTGGGCGCTGGCCAGCCGCTACCTATCGGTGTTTCGTACAAGCACCGATAAGTAAATTTATAGTAATATGTGTTAGGTTCGGATGGTGCGATAAAGGATACAAAATTTATACTGGTTCGGGCCGAAAGTCCCTACGTCCAGTTTGTTGCTGCTCGTGTTATTAGCACCGTGAACGGTTTGTAGTAAGGGGTACAAACGATCGAGAGAGAGACTGGTCCCAAGTCTCTGATGGAAGGGTTGAAGGGATGTCAAGAGGTTCGACACCACTTGACTGTGTGTATCTGTCAGTCGTCTCGTTCGATCTTTTTTTTCTCTCTCCTTTATGGAGGAAGCGCATCCCCTTTTATAGATGAAGGGCTGGCTTTACAAGTGTGAGGGCTTTAGGATGCGTACTCTACTTAGTCTTGTGGCTCACGTCTACCCGGCCTGGTTCTTCATTCTGATGAGTGCGAAGGAAGATAAGCGCCTACAATACTGTCGATGTCTCTCAGTAGAATGTCGGGTTGGTTCTGAGAATGCTACCCCAAGGCAAGGTATGGGCCGCAGACATGATGGTTTTGACTTTTGAGCCTCCCCGACCTTGCTCCGCACGCATTACGCTTCCTATGAGTCTTAAATCGGAGGGACGCGGGTCGGGTCCGGAGTAGCACCGTGGCCAAGGTCTTCTGTTTTGATGGACTGAGGGGTTGGGGAAGCGGGCGCCGCTCCCTTGGGTCCACAGTGGTGACGGAATATCCATCGTTCATGGAGATAGCAAATCCTTTTACGAGCGTAGTGGTTGTCGTATATCTTCGTCGGGTTCCGTGTCCCAGAGTCAAGGCGGCGCCTACAACTCTACAGGTAGAGAGCTCAGACTGTGACACCTTTCGGGCTCTGCGGCACTGGAAGGGCCTAAAGCGCCCGTCCGTCATCCTGGCAAGATTACTTTTCCTGCCGGAGTGGTGGTATGGCTCTTGGAGCCACGGTTGACTGAACGTCTTGTTTTGCCCTCTCTCTCTATCATCTTGAAGGAACAGGAGAAGTGGTCGTAAGATGAATCCAATCTTTAGATACGGAGCAGAGTGAGGCTTGTTCCTTGCCGTCGGGCGAAGCGGAGACCAATCCCTATCTCCTGGGTGAGACCGACCCTGCTCCTCCGGGGTCGGGCGAGGCGGAGTCTATCCCTTAGCCCTCGGGCGAGACTGAGCCCGCCCTAAAGGCGTCGGGCGAGACGGAGACTAGCCCCGGGCTCTCGGGCGAGACCGAGCCCACCCCAAAGGCGTCAGGCGAGGTGGAACTAAGCTCTGTCACTCCCGTGAGGGGTGAAGCAACGCTCTTATGCGCCCGAAGTTTTTAACGTTCGGTGGTTATTGGTTCCATATACAGGCTACCCCAGTATTAGGGTCCCGACAGAGGCCCCGAGCCTCTAGGTGATTTGAGTAGAACCGTCTGGAGGGTGTTTTTGATTTTCGTCGAGGTTACTTTTGTCGAGGGGGCGGCTGAAGCGCCTGGATGGGTGTAGTTTGAGCCCCGGGTGATTTGAGTAGAGTCGCCGGGGTTATATCGATCCCTTCGGGTAAGGTGAAGGACTTAATTTTTAAATCAACTGGACATTTTTCCGAGTGGGTCGTGGCATCCCGTTTGCTAGGAACCGATTCGGGGCTGACCTAACTTCGGTGCTTCGCCCTTGATTTTTGGATCGTCGCGGATCCTTTCTTAGTTGGGCCGGCCGGTGAGCTTCGGGCCCTAGGTGGGCTAAAGAGAAAAGAAACACGCCTTTGTGGCTTTGCGTTTCCAGTGGGTAGAGAGTCCCAGATTCGCCTGGGGAAGGCTATCCGTCCATTGAGATTTTTGGGGTGAGAGGATAGGGGCTGCGGGCGCGTGTCCCGCGATGTGTGTGATGGCGTGCGTGGTGAGCCGGAGATTGAGGCGGACGGTTGCCCTTCTCGTCTCGTCGCCCCTATAAAACCACGGGTTCACCCCCAAGGTTCCGTGATTTCGCCCCCGCCTTTGCATTCGAAACATCCGCCGCCTAATCGTCCCAGCCTCTCGCGTCCGATCGCCACTTGCCGTCGGCCAAGCTGCGTCAGCGTTCACCCGCCGTCAAGCTCGCGCTGCCCTTCCCCCTCTTGCTTTAATGGAGTTGTGGGGCGAGATCAAACATCACCTCCGGCGTCTGGAGGGCCTTGTCCGCCGTGGCCTTCTCCGCCCATCGTCCGCTGGCCCGAGGAGTGGTTGCTACTGGCGACGAGGGTGAGCTGAGTGCCGCTGAAGGGTATGTCATCTCTTTGACATCTTCCATGAGTGGGGATTCAGGTACCAGCGCATAGATTCCTTCGAAATTTGTTGGATTACTATGAGGTAGAGAGTCATGAGATCTAACTCCCAATGGGATCAAAACACATGGCGGCGTTTGTTGCCCTATGGGAGGGTTTCACGGGATCGATCCCCATTTTGATCTGTGGCGGTATTTCTTTAACATTAGTCCACAAAGAGGAAGATTGGGGGAAAGAGCGTGAAGCGCGCCGATGGGGTGTGCCGGCATTCATCTGCGCCATACCCGGTCGAAGGGTTACCCATACATGCGTCTGGCGACATCCAACAAGGGATGGCTTTTCGCGGTGGTTTTACGTTAGGGATGACGCGAGTGCCACCCTACCAAGTATCTTGGGACGTCTTATTGTGGATGTTCCGAGTCGTGAAATTGGGGTGTCGGACCAAAGACAAGAAACATATCTCCGACCTTCTTTCCGCCTCCAAGCCACGAAGGGTGGGGGTGTAAAGGGGACGAGGATTATCGGTGCCTACCACGCTAGGAGGTGGCGCCTCGATGGCGTTGTGTGCTTCCCCGCATCGGATGATGCCCGGATATCGCGCTTCGAGGGACGGTGCTTGTTGATGAGGCGCTCCCTTATTCGGAAGTGGCGCAACGCATCAAGGAGGCAACGGAGCCGACGAAGGATTCTCGCAGTGTGGTCCTCGACATTGTGTATCCGGTGCGGACACCTCCCAATGCGGCCGGAGCACGGATTCTTTGAATTCGTAAGCTCTCCTCTCCGTGCTTTTTTGTTTTTTCTGGATCTCCATTTTTAACACTTGCTTTATGACGTTGGGACCAGTAGAGGGTGCTGGTCTTTAATGATGACCAGCCCACCGCGAAGGACAAGGTCGTGGCGGTGGCGAATCGACTTCATGGCGGCGGGACAAGAAAGCAAGGAAGAGATGAAGAAGGCGAAACGACTGAAGCAGGAGGCATGGGATCGGGGAGAGGACGTGAGCAGTGAGGACGACGACGATGACGATGATGATGATGATGACGACGAGGTGGCCGTCGGCGTGGATTGGGACGTCCTGGAGGACGAGGACACGCTGACGAGTGGCCACCCATCCGTGCAGGGGCCCTTCCCTTTCCACGCGGAGGGAAGTAGATCGACGAGGTCAGTGGAGGCGGCGAAGTAGCGCGCCGCACGGCGTGTCGACCGAGGACCAATGGATGGGGGGGGGGGGCGGACCTACCGCCGCCATTCCCGAGGCGACGATGGAGGGGAGCAGCTCCGGTGTTGCACCCCGTGAGACGATGGAAGGGACGGCTCGGTGCGCGCTCGACGAGATGAACCCCCGCCCCGAAAGCGGGGGCGGGCATGTAAGCGGTCCCGCCCGGATGAGTCGGCGGGGCGGGATCCATCCCCAAAACGCTTCGCCGCCGAGGACGTCAACGTAAGCTGTTGATTCCTCTGTTTTCATCCTTTTTCCAATTTTATTTTGACTTAATGGTTATTACCTTTGTGCAGGTTCTTGCGGATGGGTCACCCCCTGGGGCTGGCGCCCAAGAAGAGTCTCACCCTTCAAACGGGACAGACAGCGTCGCCTGGAGTCACCCCCATTTCGAGCAGGAGTGGTGCCGACGTTGGGGCCGCGTTGGCCGATCCGACGGCGCCCATGGTGGCTCCCACGCCCGCGGAGGTTACTGAGCGAGCGGCCTCCTCCGTGGAGGTCATGGAACAGCCGGCCGAGGGCCGCATACCGCCGGTGGAGGTGGTCGTGACCGTGCCAAGCCAGGATCAGCCGGCGCGGTCGTGGTGGCGCCCGAGGGCGTGGTGCAATCCAGCGCCACCGAGGCCCAGGTGGATCCACCGTGGCGCTCAAGCGGCCCAGACGGGGAGGGTCCAGCCGGAGGAGGGTCCTCGAGTGCGGCGGTGGTGCCGCACAGGGTCAGGAGGGAGCCGCCACCGGCCCCTTTGTCGGGAGGAAGCCACGCCCTGCGCGGGGGGAGCCGCCGCTCTAGTGGATGGCCGCTCAGGACCCGACGTCGGCTCTTCTCTCGCTCGATGATCATTCCGAGAGCATGGAGCGGGAGGGTCTTGACATCGGGATCTCGACCATCTTTGAGCATACTGGACCCAGCGGAGGAGCCCTCCGTGAGGTCGTTATCCCCGCCACTCGGGTATTTTCTGGGCTTTCTTCTTTCTTCGTATGTTTTGTGTTTTCGCATTTTCGG